CCCCTATATAGTAGTTTCCATTTTATTTTGCATCATCCTAATCCTACACCTTCCAAAGACTCCAAAGCCTCAAGCCTAAGTCAAAAACTTCAGATTTGCTGCCAAGGGCTTGCTGGCGCTGCCCATCGTTGTCACAGCCATAGGCTTAATTGCAGCGCAGTGGCTTGGTGCAGCGGTTCCGAGTCTACCTAAACCCCAAACCGTAAAGCGTAAATCCTGAAACCTAAATGCTAAACCATGAACCCGAAACCCATACGATCCGTAGAATCCCAGACCATCCTCTCAGTTGCCTACAGGTATTTCCATATTGAGGGACCCAGTTAGAGGGGCCGAAGCGACAAGGACTAGGGCTTTGGGGTAGACTGTGCAACCTGCATGGGTCATAGGAAGAATGGTCATAAGCTTGAGGCGTGTGTAGTGGCAAATGTTATAGTGTCTAGTGGCAAATACTATATAGTCCTTGTTCTGGGGACCCCCCAAAAGGTGCCCCTAATCGTGCCAAGACAGCAGATGTGAAAACTCCTCTGACACTGCAGAAGACTGAATCCTCGGGCCGTGAACCCTAGACTTCAACGACATGTCAGGCCCATACCATACGCTACTTGCATGAACTCCCTACACCTGAAACCCTACTAATCTCCGGACCATGACCTCTGAATTATACATCTCCGTGTGAAGCTCTGGACCTATGATCTATGCATCTGTGCAAATCACAGGCCATGCGATGTCCACGTAAAACGGGAATTGCAAGCAAACCACACGCGTCACAAACTTGCTACAGAGAAAGCTGAAAAAATGGGATTGAAACTTATGCGAATTTCCATGATTCAGGTCTCCCCGAAATACACCCAGAAACGCAAGTGCAAGCCTCCTTCTGATACCCAATATAATCCCGATGCATCTAGTAGGTTCAATTTTCTTTTCCGTTCCTGTACGAGGCTTTGGCCCACTTGGCCTGCAAGTCCAGCAGCGACACCTCCAGCTGTCGTGAGCCTGGCATTTGACTAGGCATTGTATTTCTCAAAATTTGGAATGGTACCCTAAACCCTGAACCCGAAGCCCTAAACCTTAAACCCTAAACTCTATGGAATTGTGTGCAGAACTTTCTAAGTTATGTTGGGTTTAGTGACTATGTAGGGATTACATGTGGTTTGGGGTATCGCAAGGCATTTGATGTTTTGTAGGGTTGTACCTACTGCGATATGTTTGTTGTGGCTTTCTTGAGACTTCCAATCTCGAGACATGATCCAATAAGACGACGGCATTTGAATCTGCACATTGCGTTGCTTGCAGGCCTGCTGTTCTGTATTCCATTTGGCTACTTTACAGTTCTCTTGCAAGCCGGATGTTTGAAAACTGCTAGAAGGTTGCATAAACCGCACGTCTCGAATTCTTTACTTGAGAGAAAAGGGCAAACATGCTGCTGAGTCCAATCTCTAGCTTCGCACAATGCGAGGTATAGCAGTCCAACCTGTAGGTTATCACCGCCAACTTAGGTAGAAAGCAGAAGCAGGGACAGCTGAACGGTTTACCAGCTTCTTTAAGCGACAGCAACCTGAACTCTAAACCAGAAAGCCTGATACTGGAACCTATGATATTGTATGGTATAGGGGGTGGGGACTATATGGGGAGTTCCCCAAATTAGGGTCCCATTTGGGTACCCCTAAGTATTGGGTGCCGTAATATAACTCACATCCAAAAGGGGCCCATAATTTTGGGAACAACCCATATAGGGGTTATATATAGGGGTAATATGAGAGTCCCTGGGGTGGGGGTTACAGGGTAACTTACACGCGAGTTTTTCAAACTCACCCCACATAATCCTTCAAAAACATCCAACAATATCTTTCTCATTCCCAGGTGTTTCCTGTTTTTGAGAATCCCCACGAAAATGCAAACTTGGACACTGGAGGCCCAGACTGGGCTGTGCCTGGCGAAGGTCCGCAGAATGTAGTTTTGCAATCCCACTTTGGGATTCTAAGTGAGATGGGAGCTTCTTGAGAGAGTCACCAATGCTTTGGGCTTTGGGTGTGTATTTTGGGAAGCAAAAGGAGTTTCATCTTGAAGCCTTTGCCTCTTGTTTAGCTTTCTGTAATGGAGCATCTCGCGATATGTCTACCCTAAGTAGGTGACTAACTGACAAGGTAGTTACATGAAGATCCTAAGCTGCAGCATTTCATTCTCCTCATTCTGGAAGTACGCCATTTTGCGTAAACCGTCGAATCATGACTTGGGCAAGTTCTCGAGATTGACGACCGCTAATGACCAAAGTGCTGATGTACCAAGCTCTATATCATCCAAGACTCTAACTCGTCAATTCCGTTGTCATGACTGCTGCTATGCCCCTAAACCCCTACACCCT